CCCCCCCCCCCCCCCCCCCCCCAATGCTTAGTTATATGTTAAAACACAATCATGTATAAAAAAGGCAGATTGATAGAGCAGAGAAATAATACTTTATGTATAAATCCACAGACACCAAATATTGATTTCTGGAATACTAATATTATACACATTATGCACTGAACCCTGTTTGCAGCAGCAGACAACACCGTTACTGTTCCGTTTATGTGCGACAATATAATCTCAACTCAAGGGCCACTGACTAGTTTACTTTGTTCAAGCGAGTCAACAGGCTGAATGCCATTGAAATGAAGTGATTTCTTAAATGCTGGTGTGACCACATCTTAAAGTAATACATCTCCTTTCCCCCCTACCTGTAGATGTCGGTGGCTGCTTTGCAAAAGGGTCATTTTGGAAAGGGTCACCTACAGTAGAGGAATGCAGCAGAGACGGAAGAGCGGGAGGAAAACAAAGAGGAAGACATAGAAGACAGTCAGAGAGCAACTCAAGCTAAACACAATATCAGCTGCCTGGAGTAGAAAGAGAACAGAGCAGAACAAATGAAGGATGGAGAGTCAAGGAAGAGAAGAGATCGTTATTCTGAAGGGAGTGATCACCTTTGAAGGGGTCTGTTTTGAACGGGTCTTCGGAGTGGAAGGGGTCAGTGTGGAGCTCCTGAGGCTGGCTGTTGAACACAGATGGCTTCACTTTGAATGGATCCTCCTGTGGAGGAGAAGATATTTTACTCAGTCTTATCAAACATGCATATACACAGAACATGAGTTATGATCACATTACATACACACATGGACAGATTCTCTAAGACTTCTGGACCATTTTTAAGGCATACTGCCTCAAAGACTTCATCAAGCAGGAGTAGCAGTGTCAATTTAGTGACTATTTGCTCTTTAGTGAGTTTGGAGCAGTGCTTCCCACTGGGTTTTGTGAGACTGTGTGGACTTTGAACCCTCTAAGGTGATCCAGGGGTATGCTCCCCCAAAAGAAAGTTTTGTACATTTCAAAGATAAATGCCTCTATCTGGAGCACGTTGAGAGCAAAATCAAGAGGTTAGATCTGTAGAGAAACCCACGGACTCCCATCTCATCAGGTGGGTTGCCACCTTCACCGCAGAACCCTGACGCACCGAGGACAGTCTGCCCCGGTTGACAATCGCACTGAGAGCAGGTGGGCCCCGTTCCTTGCAGCTAGCACAAACTCCACAGCCCCGGGAAGCGACAAGATCAGGGCGAGGGGAGCTGTGAAAGCAAGCGAGCCACGTTCACTCAAGCCTTTCTGAGCCGACCCAGAGCTGGTCGCGGCCTACCACAAGAGATGAAATGTGCCCTTTAAGCACCGTAAGGGCCGAGGTGGCGGAGTGGTCAGCTCACTTTTTAAATGCCAAGGGCCCGGGCCCTAGTGGTCAGCTTAAGTTTTAAACACCATGGGGAGTAATAAAATAGGGGGCGGCAGTAGCTCAGTCTGTGAGGGGACCTTGGCTTTGGAAACGGAGGGTCACCCTTTCAAGGTGCTAAAGGAACCCAGTACGGCGTTTGGACTGGTTGCTGGAGAGGTGCCAGTTCGCCTTCTGGGCACTGCCAAGGTTTCCCCTGAGCAAGGCACCGGACCCACAAACTGCTCGCTGGGTGCTGTATAGTAAGAGCTGCCCCACTGCTCCTGCTACTAGGACGGGTAATATGCAGCAGCTTACTTTCCCTGTGTGTGTTGTGCCGTGTCCGTGTGCGTGTGCAACAATAAGAGCCCTGGCCTGACTGGCCCGCTCCATAACCTGGCCAGAACGGTCAGGTGGGAGTAATTGCAGAAGTGTAGCGAGTTGGAAAGAACAGATTCTTAGACAGAAAAATTAAGCAATAATTATTATTACAATATGCACAAAAACAGAATATAAAATGGGGGTTGTTGTGGTTTGTGTATTGAATTGTCGTTTGGGTGCATGTTTCTCAGAATTCTAGTAATACACGACTGATCCACCTCCACGGCTTTATGGTACTGATGTCCTGTTCCCAGAACTGCAGCAGTTAGGTTGGCGAATACTATGTTATCCTAACTGGTAGAAAAAAGATAGACTCGACTACAAGTCGACCCAAGTTGTAAAAAACCACAATTATACTTTAATAATTTTCCACTTACAGCAAGAAGTGCAGGAATCAACCTCGAGAGCTCTTTTATAAGAATGTCTATTGAGATCCCTAATTACACTACATGAGGGCGCACGCACACATTTCCCTAAGGATTAAATTTCACTTTAAAAACAGAGGCAGTTTTCTTTTTCTTGTGGAGAGGAAGCCCAAGTCTGGACTGCAACATTCCTCAGAGAGTGTGTGTTTTAATACATTTCTTCACATGCCATCCCGACTCTGTGCCGGGCTCTACCTTGTTATGGTTCATTAAAAAAACCTGCACCGGCACTTCGTAGGTAACCCTGAGTCCGATCCCGCCGTTGATCCCGAGAGCTTTCTGCCAGCTGAGAGCCGAACCGAGCCGGGTCGTTGCGTTATTATGAGTAAGAATGGATTGTGGGATTGGATCAGTGCGGTCTCCAGGGAACACAGTGGAGAGAAAATAATAACTGAGGTTTTAGCAAAAACACGGTTCAAATGACAGAAATGACTGCCGAGATCTGAGCAGACTGCTGCTAATCTCTAGTCTAGATGATAATAGGCCTGGGCAAAGAGGAGGAGGAGGAGGAGGAGGAGTGGAACCCCTTAAAAAAGCCTGGAAAAAGAAATTTTACCTCATTAGCATTATAAATAAACTAGTGCTGGGCAACGATTACAATTTTTAGTCGCGATTAATCGTATTGTTATGTGCAAAGTTCAATAATTAATTCAAAAGTAGTGTATTGTGCACTTTTATTTTAAAAGTACTGCTATATGAACAAAAGGGCAATAACATTTGGTTTGCAAACACTTTAAACAAATAAGGTGCTTTTTAACAGCAGCATTCCCTTTACACAGTAGCAGTTATATTTCTTGCACTCTGTGCTCAGTGTGCTGACTTTACTTGAAACGTTCCACTGCTGTGCAACAGGAATAAAATGCTTCAGCACGTTTCAGCAAAATGTCTGTCTTCTGTTTTCATGACAGTCAGAGCATGTGAATGCAGCTCCCACTGTGCATCAATATAATGCTGTAACTCCGAGGTGATTATGGTTACCCAGCGATGTCCAGTAGTCTCCAGTGAGAGCAACAGCTGGTGCACGTTGTAACGCCGTCACTTTTGTAGTCCTCTCCTTTTCATACAACTCGTGTATTCTTCTTGTGATGGTGCATCTTGAGGCTCATACGTGCCATCATTCGTTGCGATCCTAAAGGTGCGTTCACGCCAAACGCGACGCGAACGCACTTTTGAGAAAGTTCCTCCGACCGACATCTTCCACAATACTAATCGGCTGCAGTTTGTAGCTATCCACTTCGCTGTGGCATTTGTCAGCTTGTCTTGCTGTTGTTTATCTATACTTCTCTCACACACTGCATCCAACGTAGTCTGCCGAAGCCTCCCTCCACCGTTTGTTGTGTATTGCATTTTTTTCTTTTTTTTTAAATTGCGTTAACGCGCAATAAAATAATTGTCCGCGATATTTAATTAATGCGTTAACGCAATAATAACGCGCCAAGTTGCCCAGCACTAAAATAACCAAACACTGTTGGCTGAAATAAATAGTTATGCGGACTAAAAATAACTAAAAAATTTCTAGTTATAATCTGCTTAGAGCTAGTGTTAGGAAGTTAAACAGGTCATAATTCCCTTTTTTGTAAATTGTATTTTATATTGCTGTTAACTGTATTCAAGTACGGTTTACGGATTAGCTACGATCCGTTACACCACTACCCATCACAGTCGCTTTTTGGTCAGCACGCTTTACAAAATTGGATATCCGTCTTCCATGACGACTCCCTGGTCATTTTGTATATATCCAAAAATGCTCCCACTGCAGATTCCAGTCTATTAGGGGGATATGAGGCTGGAATGTCCGTTAACTGTGACATTTTTTACAGCTCTTCTTCACAACGCTTCAGGGAGAGGAGAATTCACCGCACACACGCACACAACGTGACTCGTGAGGTTCCTTTTTCACAGGGCAACGCTGCAGGAATCATGACACCGTAGATAGATGCTACTGAATTTAACTGTCGAAAGCGTGTCAGTCTGAAGCCCTTTTGTGTAGAACTGCAAATGTGTCATCAGACCACACAGAGCTGGAGATCCTGACCTGTCTCACCATGGCCGGGAAGCCTCCGTTCTCTCTGTCGCTGAAGCCCTCGCTCATGTCGGCCAGGTTGGTCATGCTGCCTCCGTGGGTTCCGTTCAAGGTGCTGTTGTACTGCTCGATGCTTTTGGACACTTCCTGTTGGCTGTCCTGAATCTGGGACAACTTGCTACGAGCCTGCACGACACACACAAACACACAGTTGAGTGACAGCGTGACGTTTGGATACCACGCTGCATGGTCTTCATTGTGAAGAAATCTGCAGATCAAATACACATAAAATAAACACCTAAATGTGTATTTGTGATGTTTTCCTTCCACTTATCCAAAAGAAGACATGTTATGGAAGCAGAATAACCCAACATTTCTAAATTTTGTGACTGTAGAGTCACACAATAAAAACTCATTTGGTAATTTACAGGCACACCGTCCCATTTTTGGAAAGCTTTTACTCCTGGAGCCTTAAATTCAAAACTACTTCCTACGGGAGAACAATTGTCCACATTGAAACTGTTGACAGTGTGTTCTGTAGATTATCCTTAGTACTGAGGACACTGTGTCTGGAAAAGTCACCGCAACACGGTTTTAGTTTTGTGAGCACCACAAATTAATTTTCATTCAGCTCCATTTGCATTGGAAGTGGAGGCAGAAATCTCGGAGGCAGATGTCTCAAACCTGGACAAAAAAAATTCAAAACTATCGACACGGACAGACACCACAAGAGGAAAGTGAGAAAATAAGTAGTTTTAGTCGTTTGGGAGACACAATGCTTTTGAACTGCCTCTAAACTGTTTTGTTTTTACTGCTTCAGTCAGTGGCTTCCACTACAACTCACTCTGAACTGATGAATGAGCACGAATGATGTTTTTGGGATATGACATGAACTGCTGGTACTTCTTTGGGCGGCACACTATATGTGGGTTTTATGAAAAATAAAAAGGTGTCGGGGACTATGTCATTAATAACTGGGTATTTTTGCAGGGCAGCGTGAGGAAATTATCAACTGCTGAGACTCCTCAACTCTCCGTGTGACTTTCTGACTCGAGTAGGGAGCAGCGGCAGAGAACAGATGATAAGATGAGGTTAAATGAAACTCAAGCTCCTCTAGTGGTACAAGGGGGACCAATACTGGCGTCAGTGGTAATACAGAAGTAGATTATACAGTGCAACGATGCCCCCTGCTGACACTTCTCACACATACACAGGCCCTGTTTCCTACCTGGTTGATCTCATCCTGCGTGGCCTTCAGAGACTTGATGATGGTCTCCAGTTGGATCTTGCCGGCGGCCAGGCTCTGCTCCAGCTGGTTCTCCTCCTGCTGCAGCCTGCCCAGGTCGGCCTTCGCCCGGCTCAACTCCTCCTCCTGGCTCTGCAGATCCGACTCCTGCGAGTGGATCTGACTCTGGAGGGTCGAGATCTGGAGGCGGAGGAGAGCGAAATGAACGAGTGACCGTGGCCCAATGAAATCCCTTCTGCATCTGCCGACCTATTGAAACCGCACACCACACTGTAGCGCACATATGACACGCGGCTGGAAACTTCTGCCTTGATTTCCGTTTCTCCCACATCGCCAAGTTCTTCCTCTCTCACGCACTTTTTGAGGTACTCCGCTTGTTTTAACGGGCCGAACGCGTAGCAGGTCGAAGTCACCTACATTTTTATTCTGGAGCGCCAAATGAGAAGCCAGTAAACACAACTGTTTTTTCTGTAGCTGCAGTACCTAGGGGGTTCCCACAGAGGATGGCATTTACATTAAATAAATACATTATTAATTAATAATGATAATCATGATAAGAAGTAAAAAAAGAAAAAGAAGAAAAAGAAGAAGAAGGAGGAGGAGAAGGAGGAGAAGAAGAGCAGCCTACTGCTGTATCTTTCACTGGTTAAAATGACAAACGTCGTCTGCGTGCATCAATTGTTGCTTTCAGTGCGTCCGGGCCCTTCGCTCACCATCTGACACTCCTCCTGGCACTTTATCTGGACTTCGTTCAGCATGTCCTCTAGCTTGTGTTTCTGCTGGTCCATCTCCTCCAGCCGGTCCTGGGCATCTTGTTTCTGAGCCTCCAGCTCCTGCAGGCTGGCTGTCTCTTTGTCCAGGTCATTCTGCATCTCCTGAGGGGACAAAAAAACAACCTATGAGTGACAAACTAGTATCATGTGCCAAAGCTATGATTGACCAGTGAGCAAGGTGCCCTCACCTGCACCTCTGCACTCTTGTGTCTGATGGCCTCCTCTGTCTCCCTGATGTCCTGCTCCAGAGTGTACTTCTCCCTGACACACACACACACACACACACACACACACACACACACACACACACAAGTGTAATTAGAACAGAGAAAGAATCATGAACAGCCAGCCCCCTGCTGTGTACACACAAAACTTGAATTGTGCGGTCAAAATCATATGTGTGTAAATATATATTATTTAAAATGAGCTGCCCTGACACAGTGAGGGTCACAAAGTAACAAAATACTGATTGTTTTATGCTATAGGAATAAGATACATTCATCGTTCTATTAACAGCATTTGATTCCATCTGAGGAGAACTCTGTTGTGCTGTAAAGCAGCACAATATTCTTTTGGTATGACTCAGTGAGATGACCTAAGATCCCTCCAACCTTCCTCTACACACATTAAAGCTAGCTTAAATCGTATTTTTGGGGTGTCGGACGGATTTATTATAGGAAAGGTTCGAAGTTTGTCTAAAAACTAAAAATAGTCGTGCTCAAATGCATATTGAAACAGGATTTGCTTGCTGTAATTATTGCTGCTTCTTTCTTGTATTGGCCAGTAAAAGACTTTCAATGTCAGTGATGGGGGACAATAATCCATAATCCTCCTCCTGTGCAAAGATACATTCCAAAATGAATCTGAAGGTACAGTCGTTAAGTACAAATAACCCCCTTTGCTTTCCTTCAGTAGAAGAATAATCACAAAAAGGGAATTTTGTACCAAACTCTGTTAGATATGATTTGTCTAACACAGACTGCCAAAGCCTCATATTAATTCAAATAATTATTATTCAAATAAACTGTGAGATGTTCATTTAAGGACTGTAGATTTTGTCCCCCATCGTTTACATTAAAATTGATTTGCGAACTGATCTACTAATAGGCAAATCTGAACATATGTGAATCCCGCTGAGAACCGCGAGTGAAAAAGTAGGAGGCGGAGCCTGTGCTCCTTCTGAGTGTGTGTCACAGTAGATTAGACAGAAGGCCAGCCCAGCAGCCGGGGTGTTTACCTGAGAGTATTCCACTGGGTAAAGGCAAGAGTGCTGACGCAGCATGGAGAATAAGTGGTGAACAAACAAAAAGTTGATAAAATACACACATCAAAAGAAGAGTGGACGGCTGGCTGGATGGAGTGATGGATGAAAGGAGAGAGCAGTAGGATGAGACAAAGCCAAAGATGAGAAGTGAAGCTCATACATGGGGTGGGCGATATGACTTCAAATATGTTGCATTATTATTTTTATTTATTTTGCGGTGACGGTATTATATCACGGTATTTTCCATACATTTTCACTCTATTGGCAATGTAAGGGAACATATCTTAAGAAGGAAAATAAATATTTAAAAAGAACAGATGTGTTTATTGGCTCCAAATAAGAATGAAAATGAGGTTTAGACCTGCATGTGTTTTGGAAGGAAGCGCCTGCACCATGATCTAAATGCCATGTGATTCAGTTGTTCAGTTGTCTTATAGTCTATGTGTGCGAGTAACGTAGTTCATAGGGAGTTGTTTCTCCCTCATCCTCATGTGTGTGTGTGTGCTAAAACCAATATCAGCATTTGATACCGCATGTTTCCTTTTCACGTGTGCATTTTATCATAGAAAAGGGGTTGGACCATGGTTCATCCAGAGTAACTTCTGCAGCTGTGTCCACCATCACGTCAACACCCTTTTGTCAGGGACATTCCCTTTCAATGCAAACACTAACCCGTCAGTCTCATGAGCAGAACAGACACTGAGGGTTTCACTCAAGACACATTGGGACGTGCTTGGTTATTGAGGCCATCCCATGGCTCGCGCTCATACATCGCTCAGTGGAGCTCAGATGATTGGTTGGTTTGATTTCTACGTAGGAAAAAACTAAGCAGGATCAACCATACAGCATTTCAGTAAAATGAATTGCCAGAAAGGAGTAACACAATTATTAAAGCAATTAGATCAAGTCTTCTAGAAGCAGGCAGGCCTCCAGTGACACAATAAGATATTGAATGGTCTATTTTGACCATGCTGTATTATCTTTTTCAGTCTCTTCGAGAAGAGACAGATTTAAAATCTCTGGCCTTAATTGAGTTTGGACATAGTAACATGATATTGAGATGGTGCTTCTCAAGCAGCTAATGCTGAAAACAATATGCATGTTCAGATTAAGGCTGAAGCCAACATGTCTTCGTTGTGTCTTCTTTTGTCAGTCGTACAGCCAGCTTACAGGTGCAATGCCACCAACAGCTGGATGGGTGTGGCAAAGTAGAGCGTTACGAATTGTAACGAGTGTGTATTCTGTATTCTGTGTGTTAAAGTTAATGAGATTTTTTTAAAGATTCTGAGACACTGATGTTTTCTGTTATGTAAAAACAAACTACACTGGAGTTAAGGACTGGCAGTGACATTTAGCTTTTTAGTCTTGGAGATGTAACGTCACATGAGAAGCTTTCCTTTTACAAAACAGAACAATGACGGTAAATTTAAAAAAGGCGACTAAATAAACACACAGTGGCACTTTGTGTCCGCCAACCTTAGTGGTGGACTTTGGTAGGATTCTTATGTCGGCATGATAAGCCCCGATTGAAAAAGTACTGCAAGTAAAAAAAATAGTGCTAGTTTTTATGAAACCACTGAACTACACTTGACACTTTACACTACACTTACATCTCACTTGTTTATAGTCCTGTCGTCTGTTCGTTGTTTATAGTCCTGTCGTCTGTTCGTTTGTGCACTTTATTTTAGATTTCTCTTTATTTTATATTTCATCTTTATTTTAGATTTCTCTTTATTTTATATCTTCCTTTATTTCATATTTCATATCTCTTGTAAATTTTAATGTTTCTACTTGCACTGATTGTTGTTGATTGTTAAATGTTTGCACCTCTCGTCACGCCAAATTCCTTGTATGTTCAACATACATGGCAATAAACGGTTCTGATTCTGATATATTCTAAAATAAATTATATATATATATATATATATATATACATACATACATATACATATATACATACATATATATACAGTGGGTACGGAAAGTATTCAGACCCCTTTAAATTTT